ATATATAAAATATAAAGTGTTATAACTCAGGAACAAAATATTTTAGCAAAAATCCCTCTTACAGATTTGTTGCCTTTTATCTGGGCTACAATTCTGTTAGGATAGATTTTATAATTTTTATCTGAAAATTTGGCGTTTAAGATAAAATTGACCAATCATAATCAATGGTGTAATCTCCCATCTTTTTTCAAAAAAAAATTCTAGAAGCCACGAAACTGATTGGTGAAATTTACAGTTCGGTATATCTAGAGTCGACTGTATTACATGAGTAGATTTTTGAATGTGACTATAGAGAGAAAATTATTCGGAGCGTAGCCACGTTTTTGATGCATACCCATGAAAGTCTTTTTTTTGATGCATCAACATAATTAACATAACAAATACGTCAATATCATAATTTCTGTCCGCATGCGCGACGCGTAATTGTATGATTGTTTTGAACAATACCGATATAGTATGATAAATAAAAAACATGACGTGTACTAACAAAAATTACCCTTTATAATGCTTCGGACTTGTATCGATTCCTAGTTATAACCCTACACATTTTTTATTTAAAGTTTAGATTAATAAAACACATTCTAAATAAACACCATATCGTCAACAATGAAGAAAAGCAAGAATGGTATGAAAATTTTCTACTTATGCTTTTTTCTTCATTTGAGAGCGCTTCACCTGCTTGCGTGGTGTTGTTGATATTTCTATTTCTTTCGGAGTAACTTCTCCACTGAAATAACCCCCGAAGTATCTTTCTTTTGGAATGTTTTTCTTTCCTTTTGGAGGATCTTCACCTTCAGGAATGCTTTTTTTTGGGAGATCTTCTCCTTCTAGAATTCATTCCTTTCCTTTTGGAGCGTTTTCACTCCTTCTAGGGTGTTTTCTCTCCTTTTGGAAACCTCTTCGTTCCAGTTGAAGTGATTTCTCTTCTTTGGAGTGACTTCTCTGATTCTGGAATGGTTACCTCCATTTGGAGACAAAAAAACACGCCGCAAGCTTTGGAAAAAAAGCTAGTTGTTTTTTTATACAGAAAGCTAAATTATTTTTTATATTTGCAGAAAATACATCCCGTTATTGCTGTTTGACCCTTCTTCGACCGAAGCGTGGTTTCGAATTACAACGTGTCTCGGTATGTAGAAATTATGTATTATTATTTTACAATAAAAATTGTGTACTGTACGATATAATAATAATATTTTTTTTTTTAACCCTCGCCCTGAGATATTATACGAAAAAGCCGACAATTAAGAACGCGGGAAGAATTTTTTTTTCGAATATCGCGGTTTTTTTTTTTTTTTGAGAAGAACTTAGCTTTTTTAGAAACGAATTACATATAGTACCATTAGTCTAGTGTAAATTAGTAATAATCACGAAGAGATGTAATAAAACTATATAAATAAAATCGTATTATAGAATATTTGAATAAATAAAATCGTATTATAGAATATTTGAATAAATAAAATCGTATTATAGAATATTATACTTTTTAAAAGTTCGTTATGGAAAGTTTTAGTAAAAATGTATTTATAAACGAATCTTAAATAAAAACAAATGTTATAATAAAGATTTTGATATATTCATTTATTGATAAATTATGATAATCAGGTGTAAATTTCAGTTAATGCATACAACTTTAGTTATTAAAAAAATAATAATAATATTGCAAAATGGTCTTCGCACAACAAATTGTACTAATCCAAACTAATAAAATCATTACGAATATTCATCTCTTCCTCTATTGGTTCATTATCCGCGTATCCTATAGACAAGAAACGATTAAAAAACCAATTAGTATATTTATATATTTTTTTGAAGTTCACACAAATGCTGTGCCAAAAGTTGCGTTTGACTAAAATTATGCCTTGTAAATCAGATCTTTAAGCAAGAGAATATTTAATATCTTACCCCATTTTGATAATAATTCCACCGAAGGTTTCACATTGATCCACCACGACTTCTTACCTTTACGAAACTCAAACTCGGTATCTGATAGCAAATCAGTTACA